GACCCTGCCTTCCCTAGCAACTGGGCCCTGCCTCCCCTAGCAACTGGGCCCTGTCTCCCCTAGCAACTGGGCCCTGCCTCCCCTAGCAACTAAGCCCGATGTCTTCCCTAGCAACCACATCCAGGAAACAGCTGGGAGGACCACGCCAACGAGCACTGCAAATGCTGCACAAGATGGCCCACCCAAACAACATTCCTACTATCTCTTTATTATCATGTTGGAACGTTTTTCTTTCCCCTTGTACCTTCATCGTTTCAAGAACTGTTTTTTTTATTTCTTAATGTTCACTCTTGAAGTAAAAATGGTTCCAGTTTGCGATCTCCCGCGCTCAACTGTGTTGGGAGGATGGCAATGTGGTGTCACAGTGCCTCACTGTGCTGGGAGGACCGCATTGCAGCTTGGGGTGTCACAGTGCCTCACTGTGTTGGGAGGACCGCATTGCAGCTTGGTGTCACAGTGCCTCACTGTGTTGGGAGGACCGCATTGCAGCTTGGTGTCACAGTGCCTCACAATGTTGGGAGGACCGCATTGCAGCTTGGTGTCACAGTACCCCACTGTGTTGGGAGGAGCTCATTGCAGCTTGGTGTCACAGTGCCCCACTGTGTTGAGAGGCGCTCATTGCAGCTTGGTGACACTGCCTCACTCTGTGGGGTGGATTTGTTTGCAGCTCATTGACACACTGCCTCAATGTGTTGGGATGGCTGCATGGCAGGTTCATGCTGTAGCACTCGTCCTTACTTTGGGAAGAACTTATAGCAGCTTCATTACTGATGGTATTGGCTGCTTCAAGGACGCTCATGTTAGTACGCCTGTCCTCCCAGCTGATGGGGAGAATTCTCCGAAACAGTCAGCACTGAAGCCATGCTCATCTAAAACCAATTCTGCTGGACTGGCCTCATGCTTGAGTTCCAAGGAAATTCTTTATTGCCCAGCCCAAGGAAGGCATTCTGATGAGACGAGTCATAGAGTTGCACAGCATGGAAACCAACCCTTCGGTCCAACTTGTCTATGCCAGTCAGATATCCTAAATTATTCTAGTCTTGGCCCAAATCCTTCTAAACTCTTCCTATTCATGTACCCAATCCACATGCCTTTTAAATATTGTAACTGTACCAGCAATCACCACTTCCTCTGGCAGCTCATTCCATACGCATACCACCCTCTGTGTGAAAGAGTTGCCCCTTAGGTCCCTTTCAAATCATTCCACTCTCACCTTAAACCTTTAGTTTTGGACTCCCCTACCCTCGGGATAAAACCTTGGCTATTCACCCCCAAAGGCTCCCTTCAAGAAATAGGGCAGGAAACAGCGATTGGGGATAACAGAGATAGTAGGAACTGCAGATGCTGGAGAATCCAAGACAACAAGGTGCAGGGCTGGATGAACACAGCAGGCCAAGCAGCATCATAGGAGCAGAGAGGCTGACGTTTCGGGCCTAGACCCTTCATCAGAAAAGGGGGAGGGGAAGGGGGATTTGAAATAAATAGGGAGAGAGTGGGAGGCGGATAGAAGAGGGATAGAGGAGAGGATAGGTGGAGAGGAAACAAACAGGTCGAAGAGGCGGGGATGGAGCCAGTAAAGGTGAGTGTAGGTAGGGAGTTAGGAAGGGGATAGGTCAGTCCAGGGAGGACGGACAGGTCAAGGGGGCGGGATGAGGTTGGTCGGTAGGAGATGGAGGTGCGGCTTGAGGTGGGAGGAGGGGATAGGTGGGAGGAAGAACAGGTTAGGGAGGCAGGGACGAGCTGGACTGGTTTTGGGATGCGGTAGGGGGAGGGGAGATTTTGAAACTTGTGAAATCCACATTGATACCATTGGGCTGCAGGGTTCCCAAGCGGAATATGAGTTGCTGTTCCTGCAACCTTCGGGTGGCATCGTTGTGGCACTGCAGGAGGCCCAGGTTGATGACCTGTGACCAGTGGGTTCTACACGGATCAGTGCTGGGACCACAACTGTTTACAACATATATTAATGACTTGCTGGTAGGAAGGGAATATACTGTAGCCAAATTCGCAGATGTCACATTAACAGGTGGAAAGACATGTTGCGGGAGGATACAAACAGTTTATAGAGCAGTATTGGTAGGTTAAGTAAGTGGGCAAAAATTTGACAAATGAACAGAATAGAATAAACTTTATTGTCACATGTGCTCAAATGAATCTGATGAAAAGTTTGTAATGTTGCCACTTTGGTGCCATCTTAGGTATAGGGTACCTAGGTACAGATACTTTAAGTGTTTGTCACAGAATTGAAAGAGTAAAAAAAAATCGTGTAGGAATACAAAGTTTTAAATTACTCGAAGTCCAGAATAAGAATGAAAAGTATCTTTAAAAAGTACTTAAAATGGGGTATAATGTAGGAAAATATGAAGTTGTCTATTTTGGAAGGGAGAAGAACAAATATTATTTAAATGGAGAAAAACTGCAGAAAGCTCCAACAGAAAGGGACTTGGGGCGACTTCTACACAAAACACAGAAAGCTAGCACACAGGGACAGCTGGGAATCAGGAAGGGTCATGTAATGTTGGCTCTTCTTTCAACGGGGTTGGAGTATAAGAGTAGGAAAGTCTTACTGCAACTGTACTAGGTGCTGGTGAGACCACATCTGGAGTACTGTGAGCAGTTCTGCCTCCCTTATTTAATGAAATGATATCATTTCATTACAGGCAGTTCAGAGAAGGTTCAATCAGATGCTCCCTGGTATGGATGGGGTGTCTTATGAGCAAAAGCTAAACAGGTTGGGACTCTACTCACTGGAGTTCAGAGGAATGAGAGGTGATCTCACTGAAACAAACAGGATTATTAAAGGGTTTGACAAGGTCAATGCGTAGTTGATGTTTCCCCTCATGGGAGAGTCTAGGACCAGACGGCACAGACTCAGAATAGAGGGGGCACCAATTTAAGACTGAGATGAGGAGGAATTTCTTCTCTCAGAGGTTGTGGTTCTATGGAACTCCTTGACCCAGGGAGCTGTGGGGGTAGAGTCCTTGTGTATATTGAAGGCTGCGACAGATTCTTGATTAGTCAGGGAATCAGGGAGTTACAGAGAAAGGGCAGGAAAGTGGATGTGAGGAATGCTAAGTCAGCCATGATCCGATTCAATGGAGGAGCAGGCTCGAGGGGCTGAACGGCGTCCTCCTGTTCCTATTTCTTACGGTCATGGTCTTATCACAGCTCCAGGACATCGCTGCAGAAGTCCCTCAGGGTAGTATCCTCGTCCCAACCATCTACAGCTGCTTCACCAATGACCTTCCCTTTAGCATAAGGTCAGAAGTGGGGATGTTTGCCGATGATTGCACAATGTTCAGCACCATTCACGACTCCTCAGATACTGAAACAATCCATGCTCAAATGTAACAAGATCGGTACAATATCCAGGCTTGGGCTGACATGTGGCAAATAACATTCACGCCACACAAATGCCAGGCTATGTCTACCTCCTAAATAGTAAAAAGGATTATTACTTGAATGGTTAAAAAGTTGCAGCATGCTGCTATGCAGAGGGACCTGGGTGTCCTTTTGCATGAATCACAGAAGGTAGGTCTGCAGGTACAACAAATAATTAGGAAGGCAAATGGAATTTTGTCCTTCATTGCTAAAGGGATTGAAATAAAAAGCAGAGAGGTTATGTTGCAGCTGTACAAGGTGCTGGTGAGGCCACACCTGGAGTACTGTGTGCAGTTTTGGGCTCCTTACTTGAGAAAGGATGTATTGGCACTGGAGGGGGTGCAAAGGAGGTTCACTAGGTTGATTCCGGAGTTGAGGGGGTTGGCTTATGAGGAGAGACTGAGTAGATTGGGATTATATTCATTGGAATTCAGAAGATTGAGGGGGGACTCTTATAGAAACATATAAAATTATGAAGGGAATAGATAAGATAGATGTAGAGAGGATGCTTCCACTGGCAGGTGAAGCTAGGACAAGAGGGCATAGCCTCAAGATTAGAGGGAGCAGATTTAGGACTGAACTGAGAAGGAATTTCTTCATCCAGAGGGTTGTTAATCTATGGAATTCCTTGCCCAGTGAAGTAGTTGATGCTACTTCAGTAAATGCTTCTAAAAAAAAAAATAGATTTTTTTTGAACAATAAAGGAATTAAGGGATACAGTGAGAACGCGGGTAAGTGGATCCGAGTCCACGAAAGGATCAGCCATGGTCTTATTGAATGGCGGAGCAGGCTCGAAGGGCCAGACGGCCTCCTCCTGCTCCTAGTTCTTATGTGCAATCTAACCACCATCCGTTGATATTCAATGGCATTACCATCAGTGAATCCCCCATTCTCAACACCCTGGAGCTTCCCACTGACAAGGAAGCGGATTGGACTAGCTCAGTAAATGCAGTGGTGTCCAAGTGTGGCGATAGGCAAGGAATACCGTGGTGAGTGACTCACCTTCTGCTCAAAGCCTATCCATCATCGACAAAGTACAAGTCAGGAGTGTCTTGAAATACTCCCCACTTGCCTGGATGAGGACAGCTCCAACAATATTCAATAAGCTTGATACCATCCAGGGCTTTTCTACTGGCACCAAATCCACAAATATCCGCTCCCTCCACCACCGACGCTCAGTAGCAGCAGTGTGTACCATCTACAAGATGCACTGCAGAAACTCACCAAGGATCCTCAGGCAGCACCTTCCAAACCCACAACCTCTACCATCCAGAAGGACAAGGGCAGCAGATACATGGGAACACCACCCCCCTGTAAGTTCCCCTCCACATTCCATCTTGGAAATATATCACCGCTGCTTCAGTGTTGGTCCGTCAAAATCCTGGAACTCCCTCTCTAACGGCACTATGTGCGCGTCCCTGTACCGCACAGTTCAAGAAGGCAGCTCACCACCACCCTCCCCACGAGAAATTAGGGACGTGCAAAAAGTATAAAAACACATTACATTTTTAAGATGTCAAGGGATCATCCATATGGCATCTGAACGGATGACTTCCCCAGCCACTTCACAGGAGTGTGAACAGAATTTGACATACAGCCATAGAAGTTAGAGTTACATAATTTATATTCTATAGCAGCATCAAGAGCTAGAGAAAGCACCTCCGGCAGTAGGCAATGATGCTCATTTAAACAGAGAGTGCGGAAATGATGGGCTGTACGTCTCCTTCTATGATTTTGTAAAGTGTTTTTGAAATACCGGGATGACAAGAGTTCAAGTTACACTTTAGAAAGAAACACAACAATTTGGACAGATGCCCTGGCCCTTAGGCCAGCTTTATTTTATAAATTAAACAGGAGGAGGCTTCTGAAAAAGAGAGTTCCCTAATTGAAATAGAACCACAAATTGTTTCTGTGCACCGACCCATTGTTAGTCTGTAGTCACAGTGACTGGAGTATGGCCTTGAGGCGGAGAACACAAGGTGGGCAAGGAGTGGAATGGAGAGAAGCGAGCAGCTCCGAATTGAAAAGGGGGTTAAAAATTCAGCACGGGGTGGGGGGGGGGGATGGTGGTGGTGGTGGGTAAGAACCATCTCACCAATTCCACACAGGAACTTGGACGTTGAAGCAATGCAGTTTCTCATGATCATTTGCACAGCATCAAACAACTTGGAGCACAAATCAGCCAGCGATCAGCCTGCCCGTGCGGAGAAAAAGGGCAGACCACGGACAAAACTGTCCAGTTTGGTACGGAACAGTTCGCTCTGAATGGGCTCGTTCATGCTGCACAGGGGGTTCTTCACCACAAACTCAACAAAGATCTGGGGGAAGAGAGGAAAAGATAATTAGAGTCCGGTCTGTAACTCACTCCTGGGGATCTGTTATTCTATATATAGACCACCTTGAAGCCCTCGATTAGAATCCAGTCTGTAACTCATTCTTGGATATGTTGCCCTTCTTGATACTCTAAGCCAGGAAATGACAATATCGCGTTTGGATTTAGTATTTTACTGTGTTGTTTACTGTTTGGAAGATCAGGGCTAACAGAACTGCTTGTCAGTGTCACTCATTCACAAAGCCCTCTGCAGTCGCTTGCTGCTCTCCACCACCCTCAAGTGGCCACCCTGAATATAGCCAGCCAGCCCTGTCAACGTGCAGCGGGAAAAATAAACAACTTGCCTCTGAGATAGTAGGAACTGCAGATGCTGGAGAATCTGAGATAACAAGGTGCAGGGCTGAATGAACACAGCAGGCCAAGCAGCATCATAGGAGCAGGAAGGCTGACGTTTCGGGCCTAGACCCTTCTTCAGAAATGGGGGAGGGGGAAGGGGGTTCTGAAATAAATAGGAAGAGAGGGGGAGGCGGATAGAAGATGGATAAAAGAGAAGATAGGTGGAGAGGAGACAGACTCAACCACGTCCTGACACCTTTACTGGCTCCATCCCCGCCTCTTTGACCTGTCTGTCTCCTCTCCACCTATCTTTTCCTCTATCCATCTTCTATCCGCCTCCCCCTCTCTCCCTATTTATTTCAGAACCCCCTTCCCCTCCCCCATTTCTGAAGAAGGGTCTAGGCCCGAAACGTCAGCCTTCCTGCTCCTCTGATGCTGCTTGGCCTGCTGTGTTCATCCAGCTCTACACCTTGTTATCTCAGATTCTCCAGCATCTGCAGTTCCTACTATCTCTGAACTCGCATTTATATATTGCTTTTCACCACCGTTGGCTATCTAATCCGCTTACCAGCCGATGAAGTTTTTTTTTGAAGTGTAGTTACTAATGTAACGTTGGAAATGGTGCACTTAATGCGTGCTCTGCAAGGTCCCACAAACAACAACCTGACAATGGCTGTATAATCTGCTTTTCTAAAGAAAAGAAGTAGTGTGGATTGAGTGCTAAATATTCTGGACGCCACAAATGGAACTTGTTGATGGTGTAATGGCTGCAAGGCCTTTCAAGTCCACTAGGGGGAGGGTTGGTTTAAGGTTTCAACTGAAAGATGGCACATTCAACAGGGCGGCATTCCTTAGTGTGTGGAATGAACTTCCAGAGGAAGTGATGATTGCGGGTACAGTTACAACGTTTAAAAGACATTTGGATAAGTCCATGAATAGGAAAGGTTTGGAGGGATATGGGCCAGGAACAGGCAGGTGGGGGCTAGTTAAGTTTGGGATTGTGGTCGGCATGGACTGGTCGGGCCGAAGGGTCTGTTTCCGTGCTGCGTGATGATGGGCTCGTGTGCCTGGGCTCCAGCGTATGCCGTGGGGTTCCGGAGGTGGGGGATAGCAATGACGGAATGAGGGTTAGTTGGATGGGCAGAGTGGCGGGAAGGAGAGGGATATGGAAGAGCTCACCGTGCTGTAGATCTGACTGAGAACGTCTCGGATGTTCCCGACCCCGAGGTCAGTGTTCATGACGACTTTGATGCCTGTCGCGGTCTCGTAATAATGCAGCTTGTATTTACTCGTCTGAAAGGACAGGAAGCCATCTCGACTGCTCCAAGACATTAAGGAGCTTTCATTGCCGTAACACCCGCTAATAACCTTGCGGCATTCCGCCCCGTCACATGCAGTGACTTGTATCCTACACTGCAACACAGCAAAATCCCAGAAAGGATAACGGGGCGATGTATTTCTTCCATGTGTTGCTACAGGGATAGATAGGAGCCCAGGGTCCCCTCAGATCTCTCTCACCCACCTCAGGGGCATCAGTTGAGGGAACTGGCTGAAACCTCTGGAAGGTTCCCCCGAACCTGGGATAGGCAGGGCCCGGAGGTGGGAGAGCCACTGCTGACCCTCCCGAGCTTTAAACCACCGAGGATCTGTCCCGCCAACACAGACACAGGAGGGAGCAGGAAACCACAGGAGGGTGGGTCATCCCTGCTGCCCCCTTCACCCCCAGTAAGATAATCAATCAGCCCCTTGTTGTAACAGCACCAACAGAGAACCATGTCTGCACAGACGGGGAAGTGTAGAGTGAGCTTTACTCTGTATCTAACCCCATGCTGTCCCTGTCCTGGGCAGCATTTGATGGGGGACAGCGTAGAGGTAGCTTTACTCTGTATCTAACCCTATGCTGTCCGTCCTGCCGACAGTGATGTCTGACTATTGGTTGAGTCAGTGAGTTTGTTCGGGGACACAGCAGAAAAGGATACAAATCGACAGGAGACATCTTGTTGACAAAGGACCGGATGGAGAACAGCATTCCGTACATCAGCTGGTATTCCTAGAGAAGACAGACGCTGCGCATCATTCCACTGAACTCACATGCCTTGTGGGCTGCTTTCTAATGCTCTATCCACGACATGAGCTCTTCGAAAAGAGTAATGTTATTTGCCAAAGTCCCCAGCCCTCTCAATATTTTCTAAAGCTCTTGGGCATCAATGTCAGTGATGAAAAAAAAAGTCTTCATCCAGACCTTGCTCGTCTTCAGTGATGGCCCAACAATTAATTCCAAGCTCTGCAGCTCAGTAAAGTGGCAAAAAGATGTTTCGGCTAACAATGACATTTTGCTGAATTTTTCATCTCGCACTCATCAGGATATAGTGCAAGGATGCCAAATTTCAACACAACAATTTACCAGGATATTACCTGGTATGGCGGTTTGGAGTTATAAAGAAAGGCTGGATGGGCTGGGACTTTTTCCGCTGGAGCATCAGAGATTGAGAAGTGACCGTATAAGGTTTATAAAATCATGAGGGGTATAGGTAGGGTTAGTGGTCGGTGTCTTTTCCCTAGGGTGGGGGATTTGAAGACTAGGGGACACATTTTTGAAATGAAGAGGAGAAAGATTTAAAAAGGACACGAGGGGCACATTTTTTACACAGAGGATGGTTTGTGTGTGGAATGAACTTCCAGAGGAAGTGGTGGATGTGGGTACAGTTACAACATTTGAAAAACATGTGGATAAGCACATGAATAGGAAAGGTTTGGAGGGATATGGGCCAGGAGCAGGCAGGTGGGACTTGTTTATTTTGGGATTATTTTCAGCATGGACTGGTTGGATCAAAGGGTCTGTTTCTATGCTGTATGACTCTAATTTGTATTACAGGATTAAGCTGGTTGAGAAATTGACTGATAGGCTTAGATGTTGCCATGGAGAAAGCCTTGAGGAACTACTGGCTCCTGGCAATTCAAAAAGAAGTACAAGGATTTATTTAAAAGCCAAAACAATTGCAGATGCTGTAAATCAGGAACAAAAACAGAACTTGCTGGAAAAGCTCAGCAGGTCTGGCAGCATCCTTGGAGAAAATCAGGGTTAACGTTTCGGGTCCAGCGACCCTTCAAGGTTTGTGAGGTACCTTCCTGCAGCCAAAATCCTCAGTGAGAACCTGGGAGGATGTCACAGAGAATGGTCACTAGGGACAAGAGTAAGGAAGTCTCTGGGTGGTCACTGGACCCGAAACATTAACTTGGATTTTTCTTCACAGACGCTGATAGACCCGTTAAGCTTTTCCAGCAGCTTCTGTTTTTTGTGCAAGGATTTATTTAACAACTTCTCCCTCATTTGCGCTTCAGGCCCATCGTGTGATATTGAGAGCCATATGTTCTCAAAGAACAAAAATGTAAGGTTTCAGGGGACATGAGAGTTGATGGGACCCACGAGGGAGGCATGGGATAGAAACTGATCAGAGATGAGCCAGTCTATAGGGTGATACCTAGCAGAAGATTAACTCAACCTTTTGCGTCACAGCTGGCAAACTTTATCTAACATCATGCTGTAACTCACCTCCTGACTCTCCCAAAGCCTGTCCCACCATCTACAAGGCACAAGTCAGGAGTGTGAGGGAATACTCCCCACTTGCCCGAGATGGGGGCAGCTCCAACAACATGCGAGAAGCTCGACACCATCCAGGACAAAGCAGCCCCTGCTTGATTGACACCACATCCACAAACATCCCACTCCCTCTCCCCACCGATGCTCAGTAGCAGCAGTGTGTACCGTCTACAAGATGCACTGCAGAAATTCACCAAGGCTCCTCAGACAGTACCTTCCAAACCACTTCCACCTAGAACAACAAGGGCATGGGCTATATTGGAAAACCAACTCCTGCAAGCTCACCTCCAAGCTACTCACCATCCCGAGCTGGACATATTTTGGCTGTTCCCCAACAGTATTGTGTGGGTCTACCTTCAGTAAAAGGACTGCAGCTGTTCAATACAGTGGTCCATATTGCCATTCTTTCTGAAAGGAGGAAAGGGATGTCGAGACAGAACAGTGTACGGAGGGAATGCCAGAACATGAGGCTCCAGCAGCTGAAGCTATAATGTACAAGAGGCCAGAATGGGGGAGGCAACAGAGATAGGGAGGGGGTGTCGGGGTTGGGGGAGGTGAATATCATGGAAGAATTTGAAAACGATGATGAAAATTCCCAAAGGAAGATGCTGCCTAACCAACCCTGTCGGGAGCCAAGTGAGCATAGGTGAGGAAATGGGGCTGGCTGCAAGGCGAGACCTGAATTTTGGATGACGTCCAGCTTACAGAATGTAGAATGTGGGAGACCAACTAGGAGTGCATTGGAAGAGTCGAGTCGAGAGCAACACAGTTCCTGAAGTATATGTGGGAAATGCAGCAACAATTTTGCGTACAGTGCAATCCCACTAGCATCAACGTGACAATGGGCAGCTAATCCAAGGCAAGTTACTCACTTGGTCCCTCGAAATTCCGGCATGTTTCTTACGGTTCCACTCGCTGTAATGGAGGCAGACTCCATTCCTGTCGAAGATGTACAGATTGTGGACGGTCATCTGGTTGGAAACAGTGCGAGAGTCAGGGGAACAGAAACATACCATGGTTTTTAATGGCACTTTATCCAACAACAGCAGCTGGCCAATTGCAGCCTCGTAGCAGCACCTCTTCCAACTCAGTCTCTAAAAATAGTCAGGGTTTGACATCCATTTCAGATTTATCCCTCGTACACCTTCCAAACTGTCCTGGATTAAGTCTCTCAAAAAGACTCCCCCTGCCGGTCTGCTCTCCTCTCTTGCCACTAAAATGAAATTGTGTCAAACCTCATCTTCTAGACACTAAATAAACAAATTATTTCTGATTTTGAATTAATTTGCTCAAAAGTAAGTCCCAGCTGGAATTCTTAAGCTAAGACATTAGGTGGGTGTGAATGATAACACCAACAATAGCTGGCAAAGGGCAATGTCAGACAGAAAGAACAGTTAGTTTAAAAGTACAGTCTCTTTAGCGACTGAGGTCCTGCGTTCTGAGACAGCTGTGACTATTACTGGCGATTCTCCTCCTGAATCACTTCAGCCAGGTTCAGCAACCTCTTTTCCCCTTCCTCATAACCCCATCACCTCCTCCCTTTTCCCTCTCTCAAAACCAACAGGTTTATTTGAAATCACAAGCCTTCGAAGACTTCACCTGACGAAGGAGCAGCGCTCCCAAAGCTTGTGATTTCATGTAAACCTGATGTCATGTGACTTCTGACTTTGTTGGCCCAGCCCAACACCAGCACCTCCGCATCATCTCTCTCAAAGCAGCAGCGGATGACTTCCCCTCCCACCAGAGTTAGGCAGCTCTGGGCTCCAGTCCCACTCTAGTGACTTGAGCTTGAAAACATAGATCAATGCCACAGTTCCGCGGGCATGCTGCGGTTTCGAGTTTGTTTATTCTTTATTCATTCATGGGATGAGGGCGTCGCTGGCCAGGCAGCATTCATTGCCCATCCCTAATTGTCCAGAATGCAGTTACAAGTCAATCACATTGCTGTGGGTCTGGAGTCACATGTGGGCTAGGCCAGACCAGGCAAGGATGGCAGTTTCCTTCCCTAAAGGGCATTAGTGAACTGGATGGGTTTTTCCAACAATCGACAATGGATTCACAGTCATCATTAGACTGTTAATCCCAGATATTTATTGAATTCAAATGCCACCATCTGCCGTGGCGGGATTCAAACCCAGGTCCCCAGAACATTATCTGAGTCTCTGGGTTAATGGTCCAGCGATAATACCACTAGGCCATCAGCTCCCTTAACGCGCTTGGTGCAGAGGGTTGCCACAGGGTCAGAGGCTCGGTCCCTAGGGAGCTGCTGCTGGTAAGGGTTTAGATGCGGTGAGACAAGTTGTCACAGCTCCCTCAGGTGGGCATGAAAGATCCCGTGAATGACAGAAAGTAAAAGGGGGGGGGGGG